GCCTCACTTTTAGAAAGAGATTTGGTAAAATTTTGTTCTTGAGGAGAGAGGTATTTTTTCCTGCCCAATTGTCTCAACTCTTCTACATGAACTTTCTGAGCTGCAGACATTCCACCCCCCATACTTACGAGAAAGAAGAGTCAGTCGCCAGCGACGTCGTCGGGTGCGCTGTGCCTATTCCAGGCGATAAGTAGAGGGTCGGCAGGGACGTATTCCCTTGCGGAATCACATCGAGACATATCTGTTTCACGAGATCACGTCGGGGTCACCAGATGTGGTGGTCTCCCATGAGAGAAATGAGACACACAAACAGGTATCTCGGGATGAGAGCCCAGAGCTGACTCCGTGACCCTCTTTTATTAAAAATTCCTCAAGTTCATTATACAGCATCATAGCAAGGTGGGATTGGGGGTGGTTACATGATCAGGTTGCATACACTCATATTATAGTAGTTACGTAGACTCTTCCCAGGCTGGTACGACCCTTCCCAGGCTGGTACGGGAATAATCATGTAGGTATTTCTTGGCCTGAGCCGTTGGGACTTTCCAGATGACGTAATGTATTTCGACATCCTATTTCCCTGTACGCGCTGTGGCAAGGTCCACGGGTAATTCTGATATGCAAATATATTTCTATACAACTATTCCCACACACCTATACTGTACCTGTGCATTTTGTTTTTCTTGCCTAAATGTAGAACCTTACTTTTTCACCATTCAATTTCATTTTGTTAGATAGCGCCCAATGTTCAAGTCTGTCAAGATCCTTCTGTATCTTAAGCCTATCTTCTGGAGTGTTGGCTATTCCTGCTAGCTTGGTGTTGTCTGCAAATGTGATGAGTTCTCTATCTATCCCCTTGTCCAAATTGCAATATCTTGCTAGCTGATAAGATGTGGATTTTTTTATTTTTTTTTGCACTAATTTGAGCACTTTTTACACTGCTGCTTTTTTTATCCTGGAATATAATGTTAGGTGTTTTGTGCCAGCCATGGCAGTTTCTTAAAAGGCCACCAGATGGGAGCAAAGAGGCACTTTTGATCCCACTGGTGGGTCAAGGGGCTCCGGCCCCTGCAGCCCCATTGGGGAGAGTTAATGGCCCTCCGGCCCCCTACACACATTGGTAAGGGAGCGGCCAGGGGCCCCTATAAGAACCCCTGCACAGGGGCTGCTCTTTTGCTCTTGTTCTAGCTTCCTACGGGACTGATCCATGGGCTCAATCCAGGCATGGATGCCTCCATGCCAGGTAACTCATTTTACCTACTTTATTCCTAAATAAAAATTTAACTTGATTGCATCCTTGCATGCTGCCTTTTCTTGGAAGCGCCCTCAACGAACCATCGATCTTCGTGAGATCCCTCACATATAAATTGCATTTATATTTCTCTTAATCCTATGACCATTGCTGTGTGTTTTTATGCCTGTTTACAAACTATATGAAGAACTTTACCCGATTTGGGAGCTGTAATTAACCATTGCAAAATTACAATGGTAATTGTAATTTGTCACAATGGTATCAATGTACTAACAAGTGCATTGTGAAAATCTGTGGTTTTATATTTCAGCCTTAAGTTCAATTTTTGTAAATTACATTTAAACTTCTTTATAAGCTTCTTATTCACTGTATAGTTGATTTTTATTCATTTGTGTTATAGTATTAGAAAGAAGCATTTGTACTGCTTTAAATTAGCATCCTGGCAAGTTATATGTTTTACATTTAGATTATATAACAGCATTAAAGCAAGAAGTATTTTAAAGCTTAATTTATTGACATTTTAAGAAAATTGGATAATGTTCCTTGCTTGTTTATGCTCAATCATCTTCTTCCCAAGCCTTTCTCTTACTCTCCAAATCCTCAAAGTAAATCTTTAGGCATCTATGCTTATAAATAAGTTCCAATAAAACTTAATTTTAATTTTACCATTATTTACACAGAAATATGATTCACTGGATTCAGTAGAACATATAGTACTGCAATTGTACTTTGAAGTACTATAATTATGTTAAGAGTTTTTCACCCAATTTCTTCTCTACCTGTGAATAGAATAATGAGAGATCCAGGCCATATGTACCCTGTAAACTATTATTTATTTCATAGCTTCTTCACAAAGAATTATGTGAATTGTTATTGGATGAGGTTCTAAGAATTTATTCTTTGCCTGAGTTCAGATATTCTAATGCAAAATGCACACACACACAAACACATACCATCAGTAACCTATTGGGCTTACTCCAGGACAAAAAAACCCTCAGCCTTTTGTGGGAGTACTGAAACAATGGGAGAATAAATGCATAAACCACAATTAACTTTATTTAAATTTTACATTGAGCCTCTAATGTGTTTATGAACAAAACATAGGAGAACAAACCCATCAGGACAAGATTCAGCAGTCCATCTGCATTTAAAAGACAAAGGCCACTCTTTTGAAGACAGCAAAGTCAATATTTTGGACAGAGAGGACCGCTGATATGAAAGAGGGTTAAAGAGCCCATTTATGTCAAAATTGAACAGCCCTCTCTCAACAGAGGGGGACTGATACAACATCATCTATCTCCAGTCTACAACACAGTACTTTCAACAGTTCCAAGAAGGCTCCACATCCATTTTCACCACTCAGGTGATCCTGATGATAGTAACTTTTGGTATTCATCTAATAAGCACATGCAGCAAAGGCGAAGTTTACCCTTAAGCACGATTTCTGGTTTTCTGAAAGAAAATAGCCCTGCTGAATCATTTCCATGAAAACTATTTTATCTGACTCCCATTTAAGAAAAATTAGGGAATCATTTCCATAGAAGCATCATATCTATTTTATCTGATTCTCATTTAGGAGAAATTGACAGAAGAGGAAAACAAACTACAGAAAATGAAAGAACTTGTGGCAAAATAACTGACCGTGTGATTTTTTTGAGTTTGCTGCAGCATTCTTTATTTGACTAAGGCAAACGCTTTCTGAAACCAGCTTACTTGAAAACATTCCAAGTAAATATTTTGGATGGCTGGACAATTCCTTAAGAAAACCATAGAATTGCAACCAGGTCCAGTGTGTTGGTCTGTAGGAAGTTAGCACCCACCCCTTTCCTGGAAGAGTGAAATATTTTAGGAAATATGAAAAAGGTAGAATATTATATTTCCCTGGATGAGAAATGGAGAAGCATGTTTTACAGACAAAGCAACTCCCACCTTCCTGCCCCCAACCCTTTGTTAATGGGCCAGAGACAGAACCCAATCCTTTGTCAAAGGACATTTGCAACATAATAGCAACAGAAACTAACACAATGGGCCCCATCTAGCAACCGAAACTCACCACATGTGACCTGGGAAGCATATGTGACCATCAGCTAGCAAGGCTAGTTAAGACCCCCACCCCCTGGGAGTCTGACAACCAATCAGGATACTCTTTCGGGGCCCCAGGAAATGCAAAGCCAGAAAGAGCATAAAAACCCGTGGACTCGCTGTATTCCTCCCTTTTCTGTTCAGGATCTCAAGCCATGTGATCCTGTCCACCATTAAACCATCTTTCCAAGCAGTCTCCATGTTTCCAGTGTCTTTTTCCCCACTTGGAGCAGAACCCAAAAGGATGTTTCTTCCAACAGGTCCTCAGAAGAAAATCTCATAGACTTCTTTCCTACAAATATTTTCAATCATAATAATGTAGGCTGAATCTTTATTCTAGTTCATTGTGAGTTTATTGGTTTTGGCTCATTAGATTTATACTGGAGCTTTTATTCAGGAGCTCACTGTTGCATACATAGTCCTCCCTCCTCCTGTTTTTTCCTATCAGCCACAACCAGTGTGGAAGGTTGAGTTAAGAGAGTGAGCAGCTCAAATCCACAGGTGAACGTCTGTGCCTGAAGATGGATTACTTCCTGTACATCCCCCACTCCCCAGCACTTTAACTCGGGGTGGGTTCTACTTACTTTTACTATCGGTTCACAATGGGGCCGCGTGCACGCTCTTATGCACATGCACAGAAGCTTCTGCGCATGCGCAGAAGCATTTTGGTGACATCGGGGGTGGTGGGCAGGACCTCCTGCTGGTTTTATTACCTGTTCTATAGAACCAGTGCGAACCGGGGGCAACCCAACACTGCTTTAACTACTATAAAACATTGGCTTTCATTACATCTCATGTTATCATCATTTGCATAATTTTCTACTCCCAAGCAGAGCCCAAGCGCACTCCCAACAAGAGAAACTCCAGAACAATTGGACGCCACTTACTTTTCCACATGTTGGACTGCAGCTTCCATTTTCTTTCAAACCCCCCCCCCAAGTTGAATAGAACTGGCAACATCTGAAGGTTGAGAAGTGATCTACCTCTGTCCTACATACATTTTAATGTATTTTACAATGCGAAAGTTGCTTCTTTACATTTTTGAAATTAGATGAGTGCCCACTGGTCCTCCTCTTCTCCCCCACTTTTTTTTTTAACATAAAGATTATATTAACGTTCAGCCTGAAGATGATTTTGAAGTTCTAAGCAATGTCCTTGATCAGGGGTGAAATTCAGCAGGTTCTGACAGGTCCTGGAGAACCGGTAGCGGAAATTTTGAGTATTTCAGAGAACTGGCAAATACCATCTCTGGCTGGCCCCAGATTGGGATGGGAATGGAGATTTTGCAGTATCTTTCCCCCAGGAGTGGGGAGGGAATGGAGATTTTGCAGTATCTTTCCCCTGCCATGCCCACCGAGCCACGTCCACAGAACCAGTAGTAAAAAAATGTGAATTCTACTACTGTCCTTGATGGCACATTTATGGAAATCCAGGAAGAAATTCATGAGCTATAAACTAGATTGGAACAGCCCTGTGACTAGGTAAAGCAAAAGGACAATAAATCATTAGTCCATTGATGTGTTATTACTTTATTATGAATGCCCCATAGAGAGAGAAGTGATTGTAAAGTGTTTTGATTCTTGAGCCAAAATTATTTGTCTACGGACTATGTCTTATGTCTTGGGTTACAAAAAATTTGACTGACTTTGATTTATTTTGTTTTCAGGAATGAGAAGCCATGGTTCTTCAGTTGCCTCCTTGCAAATGTTTCTATTTTGTGTGTCCCTTCTCTGATAAATGTGCCCAATTTCCTACCAGTTGTCACTGCTTCCTGCCAATGAACAAAGACTGGAGAAGTTGCATCAGATTTATTTCGGTGAGCATAATGGTTGGGATGTATTTTCTCAAATGTGTTGTTTATTAAGGAAACAAGAAGCAATCCAAGCAGGCTTTACCAATGTTTGATGGCCCCAGTTTCATTTTCTCCCAACACTAGATTTGCAAACCAGTTGCATTGTTCCATAAAACAAGATTGAAATTATTAAGAATCGTGGTTACTTCTTCCGCCTGAATAGACATTCATTGACAATGAAAATGTCATGGTGGTGGATAGCATCTTCCTTTTAGGATCAACCATCAATAAGCATTCAAAAAATTCTCTGCAGACTAGCATTGATAGAGCAGCCATGAAGATCTTTGAAAAGTTATTCAAATGTCATGATGAGTCCATATCTACAAATATCGGAATCATGCAATTAATCATATGAGACTTTATGGAAATGAAAGTTGGATCTTGAAGTAAGGTAGGAAGAGTATTGAAAGAGCTTTTGAAAATTGGTGTTGGAGAAGACTCCTGAGAATACAAAACAAACAAACAAAGGAATCATCAAGCAAATCAACCCTTCACATTTGAAGCACAAAGGACCAAGCTCATCATATGGCACATTATAGAGAGGCCCAGTTCTCTGGCAAAGGTTCTAATCTGGAAAGGTAGGAGGAAAGAAAAGAAGACAATCACCAGTGGCAAGATAGACAGATTCGGTTACAATGGGGATGGGGACACCAGTGGAGGAACTGAAGGACCAGGTCAGGGACAAATAGTCATGGAGAAAATATATCTGTGTGGTCTCTAGCAGTCAACAATGACTTGATGGCACGTAATCAGTCATTCAGTCTAACTCAGGGGTGTCAAACTCAATTCCACTGAGGGCTGCATCAGGATTGGTTTGACCTAGGGCAGTGATGGCTAACCTTTTTGCCGTCACGTGCCAAAAGCTGAGGGAGCATGGGGGGGGTTTGCGCGCAAGCGTGCCCACACCCATAATTGAATGCCCACCTGCGTCCCGTCCCACTGCGCATGCGCACACAACCCCTCCGCACTCCCCCCACTTTTGGCATGTGATGGCAAAAAGGTTACAGGTGGGCCCGGTAGACCCGTTTTTCGTCCTCCCCAGGCTGCAAAGGCTTTCTCGGAGCCGGTGGAGGGCAAAAATCGCCTTTCCCACCCTCCCCTAGAGGCCCTCCAGAGGCCAGAAATGGTCCATTTCCGGACTTCTGGTGGGCCCAAAAGGCCCAAAAATCAGCTGCCTGATGTGCATGTGCATGCTGCAGCTGAGCTAGGGCAAAGCTCACGTGCCCACAGATATGGCTCCGCGTGCCACCTGGCATGCCTGCCATAAGTTCGTCATCACGGACTTGGGGGGTGTGGAGGGCGTGGCCAGGGGGCGTGGCCAGCTCAACATCACTCATGTCAAGGGTACCTGTGATGCCCCAAGCACTCTGCCAGCGAAAATGGGCTCCTGAGCTCCATTTTCAGCTGCCATGGCCTCCTGCAACCCTCTGCCAGTGAGGGAGGCCATAGCAGCCGAGAACAGCATTCAGGAGCCTGTTTTCACTGGCAGAAGCACCGCGGTCCAGCCCTTCGCTGTTTCCAGGGCAGCCCCGCAGGCCAGATCTAAGTACCCCATGGGTCAAATCCGCCCCCCCGGGCCTTGAGTTTCACACCCCTGGTCAGTGGTGAAATTCAAATTTTTTTACTACTGGTTCCGTGGGCGTGGTATGGTTTGTTGGGCGTGGCAGGGGAAGGATACTGCAAAATCTCCATTCCCACCCCACTCCAGGGAAAGGATACTGCAAAATGTCCATTCCCTCCCCACTCCTGGGGGGAAGGATATTGCAAAATGTCCATTCCCACCCCACTCTGGGACCAGCCAGAGGTGGTATTTGCTGGTTTTCCAAACTACTCAATATTTCCACTACCAGTTCTCCAGAACCTGTCAGAACCTGCTGGATTTCACCCCTGCCCTGGTCTAACTGAATAGACTTTCTATTTGCCTGAATTCTAAACATCCAAATAAAGTTTAACAAAGGGAGCCATCAAGAACCAATGATATTCTAGTAACTGAGTAAAATGAGGCAAAGCTTGCACTACCCAGAGGCATCCTCAAGGAGAGTTAGAACGGTCAAGATGGCAGCTACAACCATGTGATTGAAATCCTGGTCTTTTATGTGTTATGAGATATCCTGACTTTAATGTAAAGGAACATTATGGCTAGATTTATACAATGTGATGTGTCAGCTTTTAGTTAAGTGTGTAGTATGGATCTATTATAGTATGAAAATTTTATTAAATCGTTTAATTCAATGTGTGACTAGCTAATGTTGGGTTATTTAACAGATTACATTTAAGTATTTCATGGCTAATGTAATGTCTAATCCAGATCAATGACAGGAAAGAACTGGCAATTTTGGGGAAGGAATAAAAGAGGATTAGCCGGAAGTATAAGCATAGAGGCTTAAGTTATTCCTTTTAAATGGGATTTATTTTAAATCAGGAAAGTGACTTAAAAAGAATTGAGGCACAATTAAAAAATAAAATTATTATTTAAAGTACTGAAATGGTTAGAAAAAATAATAGAGCAACCTGTAGATGGAAAACCAGAGACATTCTTACTAGGAATATTTACTGAAAAATACACCAAAGAAATAAAATATTTGATTTTACATATTATAACAGCTGCACGCATATCATACGCACAAAATTGGAAAAGGGAAAACATACCAACAGAAGAAGAATTGATAAAAAAAATCCTAGAATGTGCTGAGATGGACAAATTAACAAAAGAGCTCAAAGAAAAGGAAGATACGGAATATTATATAATCTGGAACAAATGGTATAAGTGGCTAGAGACTCGAAATAATGGATAATAAAAATAGGGGTAAATTTGAAAATGGAAAATATGAATATGATAATGTATAGAATGTATAAAATCAATATGATTGTTATAATGTAATTAAAAGAGAAAGGGAGAAGAAGAAAATGGAATAGTATAAAGGGAAACGGGAGAGAATGTAAATATTAGAAGAGCAGTCGCATTCACGACAAACCATTTTATACCAAATTTATATTTTTGCTGATAAAGAAATAAAGGGAGACAAAGGGAAGAGAACTTGTGGCTCAGAAGGTTAATTCAACTGCCTAACATGCAGGAAGCCCAAGTTTGAATCTGAGTAAGGGTATGGCTAGCTGATGAAAGCTAAAAAGCTTGAAATAGATCTCTACTAGTCTCCCTTTATTTCTTTATCAGCAAAATATAAATTTTATATATGTGTTTGTGTGTGTGTGTGTGTGTTTGTTTTATGTTTTGTGTTTTGTGTTTGTCATATTGTGTTATAATAAAAATATTTTTAATAAATAAATAAATAAATAAATAAAATACTGATAGACGGGACAGAAACAATGTTGGAAAATGTCTAATAAAATGTTTGGGAACATATATGCAAATTTGAAAGCAAAGAAGTAATTAGCAACTGAAAACTCAAGTCTCAGTGCTCAGATAAAAGCGCTCAGATAAAAGAAAAACAATTTGGGAAAGTGCGCTTTTAAAACATAATTACAGAGTAAATATCAATGTTGGAATAACCTAATATGAATATAAATATAATCATCAGACCTCTCTGCTCCTGTTTATTTCTCTTGTCAGATTAGCCTCCTTCTAATTAAAACAATTTAAATGAAAAAATATTTTCTTGCAAGATCATTTTATTTGTTCTCACCATAAAAAAAAAAAAGGCTGAAATGAAGCTGTTGCATGCATTCACCTTCACCAGAACCAAACAGCCTAGTTTGCAAGATTCATGATCACAGAAATTTGTGTTTACTCTTAATCTTCTCTATCTTAGCATACACATCTTTTTCAATAGATTCTCGCCTTTCTTTACACAGCAAATAGCTATAGCTGCTTTGAGGAACTCCAATCTATTTGCTGTGTAAAGAAAGGCGAGAATCTTTTGAAAAAGATGTGTATGCTAAGATAGAGAAGATTAAGAGTAAACACAAATTTCTGAAGGCCACCATCTTCAGAAGCTGGAGTAGACTTTCTTTCTGTTGCTATATATGTTAGGACTAGAAGGTATGTGTCTAATGTCTTTCGTATTCCCTACCATGGATGTGATGTAGATCTGCAAAATAAATCTTTTTTGCTGCTTTCAGATGTCCACTGGGGTCTTTCCATCACATCTACTTCTGTTCTAACACCCCGCCCCCCAATTAGAATCCTTTGCAGATGTGCTTTTAGCATCTCCCACATCCTATATACTCATACCATTAATGTTTTTTTTCCCTACTCAAATGAAGGACTGCATTTGTTTCTGCTGGAATTCAAGTTTTTGAAAAAGCGATTGGACAGCCATTAGTCTGAAATGGTATAGGGTTTTCCTGCCTGAACAGGCGATTGGACTAAAAGTCCTCCAAGGTCCCTTCCATCTCTTCTCTTCTCTTCTCTTCTCTTCTCTTCTCTTCTCTTCTCTTCTCCTCTCCTCTCCTCTCCTCTCCTCTCCTCTCCTCTCCTATCCTATCCTATCCTATCCTATCCTATCCTATTTGTCTTGCTCCAACTTATCAAGGTCCTTCTGTATCTTGATAGTGCCTTCTAAAATGTCTGTTTCCCCACAATACACAGATTTGATAAACATATCTTCTAACTCCACATATTCATTATTATAAGAAGCTTGGCTTGACAGTTTCCTCAAGTGTGATATGGAACTAGTGAAAAAAAAAACTCAGTGGGTATAACTGTTCGACGAGCTCTGTGTCCATCTAATGGTAGACAGTCCAGCCCATATCATGCCATCTTTTCTACTGAAATCTCATTTAAAACTTTGTCAAATGCTTAATCAATCCTTTAAATTATTGGAAAACAATATTTTGAAAATATGGCCCGTGGAATATTTTCCATGGATTCGAAGAGGTCCGGTCCAACTCTGTTATTCTGTTTGAATATGTGTCATAAACAATTATGTCTTATCTCATTTCCCAGTGAATTCCAATTTCTTCCTGGAAGTGAAAGTGGGCACAGGCATGAAGCTGTGGCAGTCAATATTAGAAGCATTTGTTCTGCTACCGTATCTCAATGTATGGCTTGTTGATGGTGAGTGCTCAGTCTTTCATGCTCATTATTATTACAATTTTGAAATTGTTTAATATACATGATAACTGGCTCTACTGTTAATAGTTCTTAATGTTTAACTTTGATTTCTAGCATTCAGTTGGTATCGTCCCACCTTAAAGTCTGGTTATCTGCCAACCCACTGAAGTAAATTCAGTCTGTTCCATATAGAAACTATAACTGAGTCATCAACCCCTATCAATCTCCTGTTTCTCAACCTTGGTTGCTTCATGATGGTTGGACTCCCAGAATTCCTCAACCAATTACACTTTTATTGGGGAGTTCTGGGAGTTGAAGTCCACACATCTTAAGGTTGCCAAGATTTAGAAACACTTCCTAAATAATCTTAGAGACCATGCGCTGGATGCTGAACTGCAATAAGTACTACTTTAGATCACCCCTTCTCGATGCCATCTCTTTATTTCTGGAATATCCTACCCCAATAAGGTATTTCTGGCATTATTATTTTTTCTAATGTTAAAACATTTTCATTCTAGTATTTTTAACATGTTAATAAGTTAATTTACTGTACAGTGTTAGATGCAAGTATCTCATAGAAACTTTTAAACTCTTCTGCCTGCTGTTATGTTTTCATTGCTTTTATATTGTATTTTTATTTATTACTATATTTCATGCTGTGCTTTCAGTGTTGTCCTAATATGGTTATATAGCTCTGAAGCATCAAAATACTCAAGTTGCTTTAATTAAAAAAAATTGTCTAGACCATGTTTTCCCCAAAGTTGGCTCCAGGTGTTGGTTGTGGCATCCATCATTTCTGACTTTTGGTTAAACCACCTTTAGCCACAGTTAGATGCCCTCTTAATGTCCATGTTTTAAGCAGTGGTCTTCTACTGTTTTCCTTTTTTCAGACATTGTTTGTTTTTGGCATAGCACTAAGAACAGAAGGAGCAACAATAAACACTAAATAAACATTTCCTTTGGGTAGCTACACGGATTGGGACTAGAGGGAAAAATAACAATTCAGTATCATCAATAAAAAGATGGGAAACAGGGCCATAGAATCATCTTGATTATCTTTTCTTCCAAAATCATGGAACTGAAAGGATAATAATAGACCCCAAGAAGGGTGAATTTGGATACAGATCTCATTTAAACATAGAGCACCATGAAAAAAGTGAAAAATTTAAACTGTTACTAGTAATCCCATTAGATTATCATCAAATGTTAGCAAAAATTATCTGCAACAATAAAACAGGTCTACCTTTAAATGTTTTAGAATGTTTAAATGTAAATTTCTTTCATGTCTTTAGCTTACTTTGTACATGCATACATATGTGCAATTCAACTATTGGTATAACAGTTAACAAACAACAGATAAATTAAACTTCATGAGTAAAAGAAAGGAATGTTAGACAGCATATGTTCAAAAACTAAAGGCTTCTTACATGACTCCCCCATTTGATTGGGAAGCCATGCTGTTGAGAGATGGTGATTTATTGTCCAGCATATCTGAAAAGCATCTGATTAGGGAAAGTTTAAACTTTAGAAAACAGAAATCTGGCAAAATAAAGTGAGACAACAAAATACTCTTTATCTGTTGTTGTATAAAGGGAGAAGCCAGGCAGCTGGAAAAATAGCCTTGGCAACTGCAATATAAATTTGGCAATTGTTCTTCTAATGTCTGCTGGTCCATCTGTTATACCATAACAGTCTACTGAGAAAGCAGCAGCTGTGCTTTTTTACACTGAATATTTCTAATTTGTCACAGCAAAGTTTTGCTGCCACCTTCTCTTTTATTACCAGAGCTTGAAATATACATTGCTGAAACTTTGGATTGTGTGTCATAGATGCCATATTTGCCAGGGTAGCTTTAAAATATTTGGTGATTGGCATGCTTTTGTCCTGGTAGCCATTTCATCTGAAGTTTCACAAGATATGGGTCTTTGAGTTAGACTCACAGACTGGAAAGCTTTTCTGGGTTAAGGTTATAGTAAATCTAGTAGATTTATCTCAAAATTCTAATAATCCAAGTTGACTCACAGAAGACAATGTACAAAAAGGAGAGAAAGAAAGTCAGAAGACAAAATGAGTCCATTCCGTATAAGGTGTCTTTGCAGCTAGGAGTTCTAAGATAAAAGTCAAAGAATCATTCCTAAACTGGTTTTGTTCCAGTGATATTTCAAACTTGAGAATTGGCTTCTTTCATCAGGATACTGCAGAATAGTTTATCAGACCAGCTGTTTCTCGACAGAGCCAAGCTCCCCTACATACTTCTGTTTTTCTGATGCTCTGTCTTCAGATATGAATATTCTCAAAGGCTAACTTGAGAAGGCTTTCAGTCTGGGTCAGATCAAGGCTGAGCAGATAACAGCAGACTAGGGAAGAAATGCAAACCAACAATTTCTCTGGGAAGAGAAGCTTGCCTGGGTAGTTTCACCTCCGACAGCAATACACAGAAGAGTAGTCAAAATCCAGTCCAATGTTCAGACAGCCAGTCAGATTTGTCAGCCAGTTTCATAAGCAGGATTCGCAGAACTCATACATCACACCAGGCAATCAAACAGTTGTTTCCAACAGAGAAACTTAGGTGGAGGCAGCCATTAAATCAGGCTGCAAACAGATGTCTTTAGTTAAGAGTTTCCCCCTTGCTTGGCAAGGAGTCTCATTGAGCATCTTTGCTCTGGTCTCCACTCTACTTGCCAAGATTTGGAGATTGTATCATATCATCTGAACTGCTTCAGAGTTTGATCAGTCTCAGGTGATTTCTGGCTTGGTATCTCCTGAGGCTAACATCCCACTGGTTCAACTGGAATAGCTTCTTTAATGTCAGAGTCTGAAGTCTGGACCATGACAAAGTCCGGTTCTTTAACAGCTGTAAGATTTGAGGCTAGTGAAGCAGAAACCTTGCAAATACCTGGTCCAAAAATGTGTTATAGCTGTTCGTTTCTTGCAACATGTATGCATATTATTGGCTAAAATGTAGGGTGATCTCTTTGTTCCTTGATTTCATCTTTACCAAATCTTGGTTTTAATGTGTGTTTCCCCCCCCCCCCTTAAATATTGAATTTGAGCCTCTGTGGCTTTATTACAGCTTTAGTACTCATTTATATTTGTATTTTAGCAGTATGATATGCATTTCTGTACAATGTTAAAGAGTTTTGGGGAGAGAAAATCAGGGTAGAAATAAACTATTATGAACACGGTTGCAACCAAAGCAAATCCAAGTCCATAATCTAGGCTTGTAACCACTCTGCTAACAATAACTGATTTCATTATTCCAATTCTTCAGGACAATCTCCTCCTGGGAAACCTAGAATAGTAAGTTGCCTGTCCCAAGGAAATGAAACATTTACTTGTCGATGGGAGCCTAATTCAGATGGGGGTCTTCCTACAAATTATACTCTGCTCTACAACACCGTTGGGTAAGAATATATGGGAAAGTGGGAGGGAACAAATAATTTTTATGTACTTTTTTCTCCACATACAGTAGATTCAATAGAGGTAGATACACCTTAAGAATAAGATTACCATGTATAAAGTAATATAATGCCTGTAAGCACACAAGTCTAAGTTTTTAAAACTATTATTACTTGAACATAACCACAGACATAATTTACACATCAAAGTCATGTGTTGTCAAGGGCGTAGCTGTCCCACTTTTATACCTATAAATAATAGATCATCTGAAAGTTTGAACGAAGAAAAATGGATGCCTGGATGTGATGTTGGAGAAAATTGTTACAATACTTTAGACCATTAGAAGAGTAAGTCATTCAATAGCAGGTGAATTCATACTAGGCTTTTCTTTTGAAGCACTAGTCCTGAAGCTAAAGTTTAAATCTTTTAGAAAAATAATGAAAAAGCAAGAGTCATTAGAGAACACTCTGTGACTTGGAAAAAATGGAAGGCGATTAGAAAAAAAAGGCCGACACAAGATGAGGTGCCTAGAAACCATCCCTGAAGACTGAAGTATAAGCTTGTAAAAGCTCAACAAAGCACTGATAAGCCCTATAGATAAAATAATGTTCATTCGATCAAAATGTTTTCTACTCAGAGATGTACAAGGCAACTGAAAGAACTAATTGATCATGTGGATTGTTACCGCCCTGATCTTGTAGTCTGAAGGTTAGGATGAGGGACAAATGACTGTTGTACAAATAGTCCTCAATTTACGACCACAATTGAGCCCAAATTTCTGTTGGTAAATGAGACAGTTGTTAAGTGAATTTTGCCCTATTTTATTATTTTTCTTGCCGCGGCTGTTAAACAAATCATTGTAGTTGCTAACTCAGTAGCACAGTTGTTAAGTGAATACGGATTTCCCAATAAATTTACTTGTCAGAAAGTCATAAAAAGGGATTGCATGACCCCAGGAGATGCAACCATCATAAATATGAGTCAGTTGCCAAGCGTCTGAATTTTAATCACGTAACTGGGGATGCTGCAATGGGCATAAGTGTGAAATATGGTCATAAATTACTTTTTTCAGAAGCGTTGCAATTTCAAACAGTTAATAAATGAACTGTTATAAATGAAGTTGCAAAAACTACAGGTCTGGTCCCTCTTTATAAGATTGTTGTTCCTGGAATTTCCAGTTAGCCTCCCAACGGATCTGGAAACTACCAGATGTGTTGATTTACTACATTTGAATGGTATTTGAATGGTGTTTAGGTGACCAGCTGAGCTTTTACCTTAATTCATTGCTAAGGATATCAGCTAACTTTGATTCCATGTTGTGTGCTTACAACAGTAATGTTAGTTATACTGCTTTTAAGTAATTTAAGGATATGCTTATTTATTTTTGATAAATATAAACATTTCTATGTTACATGCTTATATTTCAGTAAAGAAGAGATCCATGAATGTCCAGATTACCTATCTGCTGGACCCAATTCCTGTTACTTTAATCAAAGAATCACCAGGCTGTGGCAAACATACAACATTAGTGTAAAAGCTACCAATGATGCAGGAAGTAATTTATCTGATCCTCATTATGTGGACGTAAAAGAAATGGGTAAGAGCAGAAGCCAAATGAAACTCAAGCTTTTATTTTGCTCTATAATTAGAAAGAGAGAAGGTGGCACAGTAGTTCAACATCAAGCTTTTCTCAAAGCTAATCTCAATGTAGACAGAAGAGGCCAGCTGTACTAGTCATCAGGTCTATTGAAAATCAAGAAGAAAAATAATAGTGGACTGAGATGATCTCAGTCACAAGATCTATGATTCATTTAAAAGTTTCATGGGCTTTAAGACCCAGTTTTGATTTTTGATATCTTAGTTAAAAGAGTTGTCAGGTATCCAGATTCTTAAGATGAAATGCTGGAAAGATGGATAACACTGGCTTAGGTAAACTACTAGTCTTTCTCATTATGTACCTTACATCTTTTGTTTTGAAACTTTTGGAGCCTGGTACCTTCCAGATAGGACTCAATTCCCAGACATGGAGAAAGGCTGACATGCAGAAATGTAAAAGGAGGAATTCTTGGTAAAAGCAGTAAAAAATACTCATATCTCAATTTTCTTTTGCCTAGTTAAGCCAAACCCTCCCATGAACCTCTCTTTGGAAATCAAAATGATAAATGGAATAATGTACATGTGGACAAAATGGTCACCATCCCCGCGGCTGAATGATTCAGCACGATGTAATTATGAATTGCGACTGAAGTCTGTAGAAGGAAAAGAATGGGAGGTAAGAAAGCCGCATAGCTTTGCTTGTGATGTTAGCAAAGAAAAAAGAAAGAAAAAGAAAGGGCAGCTGTCATCATACATTTAATAAACAAATAAATAAATAAATTTCCTCAATTCAAAGATTGTGCTTAAACCACAGTAAAGTTTGACGCTTTACATGTCTCGACATTCCAACACCTGTGTACAAGAAAAATTAAGGTAGGTAGGAAGGCCTGGGCTGCAGGCCAGAATACATAAATTGGCTTGCAGAAGGTCTGGGCTCAGAGTACAGCTTCTTAAGATAATGGAACCAGGGAACAGAGTGCTTCACCTGAAACTTTGGAAAGCCACACTAGTCAATAGACCAGCAATATTGGCTAAGTGGACAAATCACCTGGCTTGCTGTCAGTCAGCCTTCCAGGAACTGATCTCCATCACTGACATCTGAGGATTAATAGGTCTTTAGTGTATCTTAACTCTTCTCAGTGAAACATGGATTTCATTCATTTCCAGAGCATGATGCGGCTGGAGAGCTCAGGGATAGAGCACAATATAATCTGATATGGTGTCCAGTATTTTTCTGATCCGAAGCCTAATCAAGGAACTATCAAGGAGAAAGCAAATTGTCAGCACCAACTTTGACAGGGCAAGCTACTGTATATAGACAGAGAGCAAAATCCCACTCTCTTCTAGCACTGAGGATATTACCCAATGTGGTAATGAAATGTCTGCAAGCAAACAACCAAGCTTAGAGTCCACAGTTCAACTCAGAGCTACAGATATTCCCTTCTAATATTTATTGGTAAAGTTCAATAGAATATGGTGGCCTTTGGCTTATGAAATGATCTGTTGCTGAAGGCTATTGAAGTTAGATTAAAGGTTATATAAGGTTAACAAAAGGCTACAAATCTCGCACCACCACTCCTGCCACCCTTAATCAAAAATAGCAATAGACAGTGGCAGAATCCAAGGAGCGCAGTGTTTTTCTTTTCTTTTCTTTTCTTTTCTTTTCTTTTCTTTTCTTTTCTTTTCTTTTCTTTTCTTTTCTAGAAAATTCCAATTCTTGTCCTCTTTATAAAGATCCAAGTGATAGTAATCAATATAAGAGTAGAATCTACCTACTCGGTGAGCACCCTATGTCAGAGTTCCAAATAATGCTCAATAAGCTCAATAAGAACCCCGAGGCAAGCAAGTTCCTCAAAAAACATTTTATTAAGACATATCAAATTGGCATATTCATGGGGGGGGAAACCAGCTCTATGTTGGCATTTTCCTCCAATTAAAAGTAAAACTTTATCACTTCCCCCCAGAATCTTATTCACCTAGTCCAATCAGCATACTGTACAGCCCAGTTGCTAGATGATCTCAGTCTCCACCCTGTGGACACCTGCACGAACGTCCTTGATTCCCAAGGGAAAGAATTTTATTTTGACTACAACACCCAGGGCCGGATTTTCCTATAGGCTAACTAGGCTTCAGCCTAGGGCCTCAAGATCAAGAGGGGCCTACATTCCCTACATTCAAATTGTTAGCAAAATTAAAATTACACTTTCACTATAGGTGAAAGGGCCTCATAAGTGGAATAGCCTAGGGCTTCTTTTCATCTAAATCCGGCCCTGACAACACCCCAGCTAATCTGTACAACCCCCTCCCTGGCCCCTTCGCTCCAGGCTGTGTCAGCCCTGAAGCAGTGAGAAAAGAAACCTCCTTAGAGACTACAAAAAAGAAAATGGCCACAGCTCAGCCAACTTCAGGGTTGACACCTTACATATAAGCAGATTTCCTAAGCATAGGATGATGCTGAAGGGAAATGAAAAAGGGCTACATAAAACATACTGTGTGAGTTAATGTACGGTATTTCACTTCAGGAAGGGCAATAGAATGCGAGGCCAGCATCTCCTTTATCTCTCACATAAAGGTTTCCATGGAGCAACCATTGAAGTGAGTGAAGAACCCTTGAGGTATTGTCATGCTATCAATAAGGAAGCGAGTCCCTTCGATGACGAATAAGCAAATGAAAAATGTTTCTGAGAATTACAAGTAAATAGACATCTCTCCAAATAAAATACCAGAAGGTGCATTAAATTGAGAAACATTTTTCTTGAACAAGGGGGAATTATTCAGTGTGAGCTGTGAGACGGATGCAACGATTCATCCCAGAAATAGTATTTTTTTTTTTTTTTGCTTTAATTTATATGCCGCCCTTCTCCGGAGACTCAGGGCGGCTTACAAGGCGTTAAGCAATAGCCTTCATACTTTTGTATATTTATACAAAGTCAGCTTATTGCTCCCATAATCCGGGTCCTCATTGGTATTGGCTGGTCATCAGAAAACAGTCAGCATTAGCTTTTCTCCTGCCTAGCACAGCACAGAAATGTCTTTGCAAGAGCGTCTCAAAGTTAAATCACAGCACCTGGACTAATTTTTTTTTTTTTGTTAGTTTGAGACGTTTCGCTGCTCATTCAAGCAGCTTCATTAGAGCAGGTCAGTTAGGTAGAGAGTCGTTGGGATGTACCAACTCATGCCACACCAAGCTCAGGGTTTTCAGCCCCAACATCATCTTTACAAGAGAGAAGATGGCCCACTGTAGCCAAATTTCCACATGTGGCACTCATGCCTTCTGCTTAGTTGCATTGCTTGCCTCTTTATTGTTGAGCCCAGTTTTAAGGTTTCCATTTCAGGGTTAAATTGTTTTACTGGCTTGCATTGCTGGGTAATTTTATAATCTTCTTTATTTTAATTGATTTTGTTGCTAAATACCGTATTTTTGGAGTATAAGACACACACACACACACTCACACTCACACACACACAGACATATATATAAAAAAGGTTTTACCTTGAGTATTTATTTATGATAGGAGGGTAGGAGTGATTCAAAGTGAGTCTGTGTCATTGGTGGCATCAAACCTAACAAAACCTGCACAGATTATATTATTCTTGTTATGAGCCTTTTTTCTTAGGAAAGTGCCTGGAATGGCCGAAACAAAGAGGCTTAGAAGCAATTGGATAAATCATGGGATGTCTCATTATCTGGCTGATATGTGGAAATATTTTATATCTGGAAATATTTGGAAATATTTCATATATATGTATTTGTAAGAATTTGTTTACTCTGATCTAAAAGATAAGAATATTTAAAGCTATATAGATGATCTCTTCCCAATGTTGTTTTTTTTCCATAAAACTGTATACACTGCCAGATAAAAAGGTTATTGGCCATGCTAGAAGGAGATGATCAGATTTATAATCCAATCCATTTCAAGGTCAACCTAAACTAGATAATATAGTTTCAAATTCAGTGGTGGGATTCAAATAATTTAACAATCAGTTCTCTGCACTAATGACTGGCTGGGTAGGCGTGGCCGGGTGGTCATGTGATTGGATGGGAGTGGCCAACTCGACATCACTCATCACACACAGCCCTGCCTCCCAGCCACTCGCCTCAAAGTCAAAGGTGGGATTCAGCCGGTTCCGACCAGTTCGAGCTAATCCCACCACTGGCTGGCCCTGCCCTGCCCATTTTTTGGCCCGTTTTGAAATCTACACGTCTTAAAGTTACCAAGGTTGGATACCCCTGAGCTAGATGTTCTAATAGATCAGTGTTTTTCAAATTTGTAACTTTTAAGATGTGTAGACTTCAACTTCCAGAATGCTGTCTGTGCAATTTTGGAAGTCCTGACATTTTAGGATTGTAAATTTGAAAAACCCTGTCAAAAATGGGCAAATTAAGATCCTTTTTAGGGATCTGAGCTTTGGTCTCCTTTTTTTAAAAAAAAAAATATTACAGATTATCCTGAGCAGCATATCTATGAAGGAAGATTCTAATAGAAGCATGCTTTATGCATAAAAATATAGAAAGGCAGCTAAAGATCACTAATCTCCCCACCTTCATGGACCATAATTTATGAGCAGACGTTCGCAATGATCTCAACAGAAGTTTTCCTCAGCTCTGCTTTGCCTGAATATGTAATATCTATGCTCTGTCATTGAGTTGTGATCATTCTGGCCCTAAAGATAGACACAAAGTTCTCTCAATCACAAGAATTGTCCTCCATTCTTTTTATAGTATGGGACCCTAAAAATAGACACAAAGTTCTCCCAATCATAAAACTGTCTTCCTCGGTCTTTATTTATATTCTGGAATAGTCAGATAATGAGGAAAAGCTGAGTGGGAGAGATACATGGGCAGACATTATTATTGATCTGATTTATCCTAGAACTGTTATCACTGGGAAAAAAGGGACTTTTACACTGATACTTAAGATTCCTTCCCTACCCCACACCATTGCTGATGTACTGATATGAGGAAAAGGTCCAACTGGGTGGAAGGATTTTTTTTAATCAAGTTTTTTTATTTTATATTACATATACATATCAATGCGTGAACAGTGTGACACTTGGGGGCCATACATTACAGTACAGATAAAATAGTATTGATCATAGTTATTGTTAAGGTTATTGTTGTGTTACCAACCAGCAGAGTAGATTGCACAGTGAAACGTTGCTGAGAGCAATGAATAAGAGATATGCAAACTGGTTTATCAAAAGCTTACTTTATAGTAGAAAAACAGTTTCATAGTCTTTAAACAAATTCCAAGTCTTTGCCAGTAAATCAGTCCAGTAGTTACAGAATATTCTTACCCAACAAACAGTAGTTGGTTAGAATAACAAACTCACTCTGGTTCCCAAACAGATCCATCCAATGATAATTAGCAGATAACAACTCCTCTCAATGATAGCTTATCATCACAGCTTCATAATCAACAGCAGCATAGCATTGCAGCTTCCTCTCAACAGCATATCATAGCAGCAACTGAACACGTTACAGAAGCTTTGCTTAAATATTCTCACAACCAGTAATTATGTGATTACAGCATGACTCAGCATTAAAGCCACATAATACATATACAGATAAAGTAACAGTACACTTATATTGCCTGGACAACATAGTTAGGCTCAAACCATATCCTAACAGTTATCACATTCATCCATCTTACATATTTCTAGTAGTAATACACATTTATATCAAATTATAATATTTCATTATTTCATATTGTTTAAACATACCCAATACTACTGCCGTTCAGTTTCTAAACCTCCGTCTTATCCTTACACTTGTCTTATTTTATAAAAATGTGTCTACTAATATTCTCTCTTTCTCTTATTTCTGTCTTTATTCTAATTTTTATTCATGTCACCATTAAAAGACGTCCCCTTTGTATTACAATACTATCCTTCATTATTTCATTGTTCAATATTTAAATATACAATTCTAATACCAATCACAATATTATTTAAATATGTAAATTAATTATATTCATATTATATTCATATTCTTTACATTCTTCCAATCGATATGATTCCACTATTAATATACCTGTTTATATTAAAATATGTTCTTTCATCATTTTATTATTCATTATTTCACTTTATTATTCCACTGCAAATCATATTATTTAAACAAACTCTATACTATTATTTAATCTCTAATTTTCCCATTTTCAATACTTAGTTCTTATTCATATTTCCCAAATTTCACTCTTCGAATCTATTTATATTAAAATACTATCCTTCATTGTTTCATTATTCAGTGTTTCAATATACTATTCTAATGCCAATCACGATATTATTTAAACATACAAAATAACTCTGTTCATATTCTTTGTTTTCATCCAATCTATATAATTCTAGTATTAATACACATGTTTATATTAAAATATGTTCTTTTCGTTATTTAATTGCTCAATTAAATTGCTCAATCACAATGTTATTTAAATTTACTTAGTAATTCCATCATTCAATCTCTAATTTTCCCATTTTATTATTACTTTTGTTTCATCATGTAAGGGTATATATACAAGTAATCCCTCAATCTCTTATTGAATACATTCCTATCTCTGTTCTAATTTCTCCTCCTGCCACCATTATAAAAAAAGGAAAGAAAAAGGAGGGGAATTTTTTTTTCTTTCTTCTTTTTCCTATCCGCCTTCTATCCATCATCTCTTGCCCACATCAATACTTTAATTCTGTTTTGCAAAGAGATGTACTGATATGAGGAAATGATCCAAGTGGGTGGAAGTATTTATGATCCTCTTTCAAGCTTATTTTCTCAGAATTGGTTCCAAAACTGGACGTAAAGTTTATTAGTACAGAAATTGTAATTGGAGCAAAGAAGGAAGCAAGGGACTTTAGGAAGACAACATTATGGCAATTCAAGTTTTTGATGAAGTTTTCTTGTTTTCCTTATTTTCATATCTTGGCTTTAAATCAACCCAAAGACATTACATTTGTTCAACATAATCTATATATGGGGTATGGGAACTTATATCATTTTTATCACAATGTTTTGTTATAGTCCAGTGGTTACTGTGCTTAGTAGTGCGATTTTATACTATTTCATATGGTTGTGTAATAATCCAAATTCAGAAGGGGGAATATCCTTTGGGATGAAAGCTCACTTTGTGTTTGCCAGAAAATGTTTAAAAGATTTATGCAGCGGGGCAGGAAAAAGCACAATGGATGTGAGGTATTGAGAGGTCTGAAGTGTGTGTCCACACAAGCTACAAATTCCTTTTCCCCTTTCAAATCCAGATTGTTGTACAGCTTCAAGAGAAGTAATTGAAGATTTTAAATCTTCATTTTTTGGGCTGTTTTCAGCCAATTTCGGCTGTTTTTCTGGCCATTTTTTGGGCATTTTCAGGCCATTTTTTGGCTCATTTTGGATGTTCAGTAGTAGTAAATAAATAGAGAGGGAAATTGTACCTTGTTGAGGCCCTTGACTCAATTGTCCTCTCCAAAAAGGGCCGAAAAATGGGCGGGGTGGGGCCAGTCAGTGGTGGGATTAGCTGGTTCACCAAACTGGGCAGAATTTTAACAACTGGTTCGCCAGAACTAGTCCGAACTGGCTGAATCCCACCTCTGTTACATTTAATGTACTGATAAGATTTGGGTCACAACTTTTTCAAACTTGCACATGCCACGTTTTTCACAGTTTCCATTGCCTTTGCAGAATTATTTTGTGGGACAGCAATTGCAGTATAAAATATCTCAGTTGCATCCAGGAATGAAATACACTGCTCAGGTTCGTTGTGTAACAGATCGTGGTGGAAGGAGTGTGTGGAGCCCAGAAAGATACATTCACTTCCACAGTGGTGAGTCAGTCTCTTGAAATTTTTCTGCCATGGGAAATCAGAGACTTGGTATTTGACAAAAATGTAGAGCTGAAAAAATCACCGAAGTAATATTTAAGGATAGACTTCTACATTGCATGCAACTATATTTAATAAAATGTACACTGCTGATTCAAATAAGACCAACAGTTCACATATAGGTAACTGAGGAATGAATTTGCTGCCAGCATATTTCTATAGCATATTTCCCAAACTTCACAGTTATACCCAAATCTTTAAGGATTCCAAGAATGTGTTTATTTTATTAAAAGGGAGAGACAGAAAAGGTATGAAGTTTATTTTAAAAGGATTCCAAAAGAGATTCTAATAAAAGTTATTCCACAATTTTTTAAAAGTACAAACAAATTCAACATAATATTGTCATAGTTAACATGCAAATTTGAAGAAGACTGCAACGATGGACGACCCTGATTGGATCCTGCAACATTATCCTGGGATACGTAAATTTGCCTTCAAACGAAGGAAAGAATAAGACACTTCACTCAAAAACCCCATTGAAGATTTTGCGTAGTTTGGTAATGAAACATCCAGGAGCTAAACAGCAAACTCAGAGAATAAACCCCTGCCAAAATATTTGCTTTCATTCGTGACAGCAACATCTTCTTTTTAAAAAACAAAGTCTTACTCAAATAAAGAAAGACGACATAAAAGAATACAAACAAGGCAGGAGTAGGAAAAAAAATGAACATATTGTTGGAAATAAAAAGATACGTGGTAAACTGAGAGTCCATCAAATAGCAAGAATCTGTTGGGGAAAGTAGTTGAAGTGCCTGGCAATAAGATAGAAATTATAGCTAAAAGAAGTTTTGAAAACGGTAGAGGAGCAAAATTTATACTTTACATTGATCTTTTCTGGGTAAATTATTTAAGAGTCACGAACAGCTAACTGCCCAATAGCTGTCTCTTTGGCCTTAAACTTTACTGATCCTCACAAGAAGATAAAATAGATTGGAAGACTCCTATACTCCCAAACATTATTACTCTGTACTCTGCTAATACAGGATAATCCTCAACTTAATCACTACAATTGGGATCAAAATTTCCACTGCCAACAATGCATTTGTTAAGTCAGTTGCACCCAATATTTAAATCACCGCTCTTGTTAAATGAATCACATTGTGTTTAAGCAAATCTGGCTTCTCCCATTAATTTTGCTTGATGGGAGGTGGCTGGGAAAGTTGCAACTGATGACCACTTGACCCTGGGATCTGCAGCCATCATAAATACATACCACTTACCGAAGGCCCACATTTTAATCACATTACTGTGGGAATGCTGCAACAGTCGTAAGTGTGAGGGTTGGTCATAAGCCACTTTTTTCAGTGCTGTTGTAACTTTGAATGACCACTAAACAAATGGTTGTAAGTCGAGGGCTACCTGAGCAGGGGGTTGGACTAGATGACCTCCAAGGTCCCTTCCAATTCTGTTACTGTTAACTGTTAAATGAGGCACACTGACTAAATACACGGGCCCTTTTCTTACAGACCAGCCTCCGGGGAAGCCAATCTTTATAGGATGTCGCTCTCCCGAAAAAGAAACCTTTACTTGCTGGTGGAAGGCGAGCTCTGAGGGAAGTCTCCCAAAAAACTATACGCTGCTCTATAACACAGAAAGGTAAAAGTTATAAATCATCCTCTCAATCAGAGGTGGGGAACCATGGCGCCTTTATGACTTGTGGACTTCAATTCCCAGAATTCCTGAGCCAGCATACCATAGCTGGCTCAGGAATTCTGGGAGTTGAAGTCCACAAGTCAGAAAAGCGCCATCGTTCCCCACCCCTGCCCTAAATGGATTGTTACATAATTTTGTATCTGTACAGAAGTTGGCTCTTATCTTTCCCCACATAGGACAACTTATTAATTTGATAAACAATGACAGTCTGGTTGACGTGTTTCCCTTTTTTTTTTTTTCTACTTGCATTTTTCAGAGATAAAAAATACTATGAATGCCCGGACTACACAACAGCGGGGACCAACTCCTGTTACTTTGATAAAAAGCACACATCGCTTTGGATGATGTATAATTTTACTTTAAAGGCCATGAATGAGATGGGGAGTAGTGTGGCAGACCCTTATTACGTGGACGTAGCTAATATAGGTATGCCGAACAAATTCTTTTGAACAGGAAAGATGGTGGAACGTTCAAAAGACTCTGAGAATTCACCCACATTTTATTGTATGCCATATTGACCGCCATCTATAAATGGCAGTCAGCCAAAGGGAGCTTTGTTTATTTATTTATTTATTTATTTATTTATTTATTTATTTATTTATTTTTGATTTATTTTTTATTTATATGCCGCCCTTCTCCAGAGACTCAGGGCGGCTTACAGTGCGTTAAGCAATAGCCTTCATACTTTGGAATATTTATACAAAGTCATCTTATTGCCCCCACAAACTGGGTCCTCAATTTACCTACCTTAGAAAGGATGGAAGGCTGAGTCAACCTTGAGCCTGGCGAGATTCGATCTTACTTTAATTGCAGACAGCTGGTGTTAAATTACAGTGCTTCTGTCTGTTGAGCTAAACCAGCACCTAACAGATTAAAATAAGTGATGTAAGTCCCAAAGGGGCTTTTTCAAAAGGCAACTGGCCTTCCTTTGTTTTTCCTTGAAGACGTTTCACTTCTCATCCAAGAAGCTGCTTCTCTTCTTGGATGAGAAGCAAAACGTCTTCAAGGAAAAACAAAGAAAGGCCAGTTGCCTTTTGAAAACGCATCTTTGGGACAACTGTGACCTGGATAACAGAAAATCTCCATAGACATTAAATGAGGTTAAGACAACATCCAGACTGGTTATACAGGGAGTAGATTCTCTGTGTAAAAGAAAGCCTGGACTTGCAACCAATGATATCATCCTGGCTCATCAGTGTATTGCTTTAGATTTTTTAGCTTGAGCCGTGTTGGCGCAGTGGTTAGAATGCAGTACTGAAGGCTACTTCTGCCGATCACCAGCTGCCAGCAGTTTGGCAGATCGAATCTCACCAGGCTCAAGGTTGACTCAACCTTCCATCATTCCAAGGTCGGTAAAATGAGGACCCATATTGTTGGGGGCAATATGCTGACTCTGTAAACCGCTTAGAGAGGGCTGTAAAAGCACTGTGAAGTGGTATATAAGTCTAAGTGCTATTGCTATTGCTATTCTCACTTCTTCCTGTTGGGGAACCCATTGTTCACAAACTGGAGCTGAGTTCCACCAGCAACAAAAAGTAACAAAGAAATGAAGTCCCTCACTTGGGCGAAGAGGAAGTGATCAGAAGGCAGTTCCTTTTGCTGCCTCTTGATGGACGCTGTCATCTTCTTGCCTCTGCTGATTCTTTAAATGAAAGCAGGGAATTAGCTGTAGGAGATTTCTTTCTCTAGTCTAGAGGAAGAGTGAAAGGAGACAATAAGACAATAAGAAACATCTCTTTTTGATTAACATCTTAATATTCAAGTAGCCAGAAAGGGCTCCCCATATGTTCCATCACAATAGGTGTTCTGTCCCCGTCATACATGCACACACACCAACAGACGTTCAAGAGTTAAAGACCAAACCAGCCGGCAAAATCCTTTTCCTTATGATAACAGAACTTGGCAACAACCTAGTGGCTGCCTGCCAAGAGTTTATTACTTACGAAGAGGAGAGATAACTTCTTCCCACTTTTGGTACATCAAAAGAAACAGCTCAATAATTACAGAGTCAATCAAGTCCAGAGATAATCCAGCAAAGTCTATAGCAAAAGTCCGGCAATACAGAATGGCGTGGAAGCTTTCAGCTTTGTTCGTCACAAGGTTTGACTGGCCACCATGCTCCCTTTTATACCTTGTGGGGTGTGGTCCAGTGACTCAGCCTAATCTTGGGCACGCCTTTTCTTCTGTTGCGCGCGCTTATCTCTGCGACGCTGGCGTGGATCCAGCCAAGACTCATTACCCTCATTACTGTCCACCTGTGGCTGCGTGGATGTGCTTGGCCCCAGGCCTATCTCTTGACCTCCGGCAGACACCAAAGGCATTGCCAGAGAGGAGGGTCCTGGAGAGGGAGGCCTTGCCAACTCCTCTCCTTCACTCTCGGGGTCCTCTCCTGCCGATGACACAGGCTCAGGTAACAGAGCCACAACAATAGGATAGAAGAGAGAGAAGCCCGATTCTTAGTGTTCGAGGGATGCCGCCATGCTCATCCTTGAATTGTAAATCCCTCATCCTTCATTTTTTTTCAGTTCAGCCAGATCCTCCAGAAAATCTTTCCCTAGAATTTGAGAAAAAAGTATATGGACAGTATGTGTTATTGACGTGGAATCCACCTTCTCTGGGTGATGTCAAATCTGGCTGGCTAACTCTGGAGTATGAATTACATATAAAGCCTGAAGAAGGACAAGAGTGGGAAGTAAGCGTGTTCATTCTTGGCGGCCAAACGTTCTGCATGTTTTTAGGTCACAAAAAAAAAAACCCACAGTCAATATAACAAATAATAATTGCCACACTTTGTGCTATTGAACAATAAACCATAAAAATGGTGTGTCTTTAGGACTTTGGGATTGAGCAAGCACTTAAAATACTTCCTTGTTTATTAATATGTTTGTATGTGTAATGTAAACAAAGCTTTTGCTGCAGTTCATAATATATCCTAAAATAGTACGCTCTGATGCATGTGTACGAGTATTTTTACTGTATGCTTCTCTAGTCTGATTCACAAAATATAGACAGTCCTTACTTAATAGTTGTGAGATGGGCAGCAAACGAATTTAATAAACAAACAAACAAGCAATACTAATTGGGGCCAGAATTCCTGTAGCTAAGAATTAAAGCATAACATCATATGACCATACAGGTTAGTGACAGTTATTTTGACACTTCCAGTGGCCATCATTAAGCAGACACCTATGACCTCGCCCATTGTTAAGGGCGAGGTCACAGGGTCGCTGCTTACAACCTCCCACTAGCTACCCCATTAATTTTGCTTGTCAGAATAACTAAAATATACAGATAGACCACATTTAGCAACTGCCTTGTTTAGCTACCATTCACAGTTACACCCCTGATGAAAAAGTAACTTTTTGAGCCCGCATTTACAACTTTTGTACAGGTGAAACTCGAAAAATTAGAATATAGTGCAAAAGTTCATTTATTTCAGTAATGTAACTTAAAAGGTGAAACTAATATATGAGATAGACTCATTACATGCAAAGCGAGATAGTTCAAGCCTTGATTTGCCATAATTTTGATGATTATGGCTTACAGCTCATGAAAACCCCAAATTCACAATCTCAGAAAATTAGAATATTGTGAAAAGGTTCAATATTCTAGGCTCAAAGTATCCCACTCTAATCAGCTAATTAAGCCGTAACACCTGCAAAGGGTTCCTGAGCCTTTAAATGGTCTCTCAGTCTGGTTCAGTAGGAATCACAATCATGGGAAAGACTGCTGACCTGACAGTTGTGCAGAAAACCATCACTGACACCCTCCATAAGGAGGGAAAGCTTCAAAAGGTAATTGCAAAAGAAGTTGGATGTTCCCAAAGTGCTGTATCAAAGTACATTAGTAGAAAGTTATGTGGAAGGGAAAAGTGTGGAAGAAAAAGGTGCACAAGCAGGGATGACCGCAGCCTGGAGAGGATTGTCAGGAAAAGGCCATTCAAAAGTGTTGGGGACTTTCACAAGGAGTGGACTGAGGCTGGAGTCAGTGCATCAAGAGCCACCACACACAGATGGATCCTGGACATGGGCTTCAAATGTCGTATTCCTCTTGTCAAGCCGCTCCTGAACAACAAACGTCAGAAGCGTCTTACCTGGGCTAAAGACAAAAAGAACTGGTCTGTTGCTCATTGGTCCAAAGTCCTCTTTTCTGATGAGAGCAACTTTTGCATCTCATTTGAAAACCAAGGACCCAGAGTCTGGAGGAAGAATGGAGAGGCACACACTGCAAGATGCTTGAAGTCCAGTGTGAAGTTTCCACAGTCTGTGTTGATTTGGGGAGCCATGTCATCTGCTGGTGTTGGTCCACTGTGGTTCATTAAGTCCAGGGTCAACACAGCCATCTACCAGGAGATTTTGGAGCACTTCATGCTTCCTTCCACAGACGAGCTTTATGGGGATGCTGACTTCATTTTCCATCAGGACTTGGCACCTGCCCACACTGCCAAAAGTACCAAAACCTGGTTCAATGACCATGGGATTACTGTGCTTGATTGGCCAGCAAACTCGCCTGACCTGAACCCCATAGAGAATCTATGGGGCATTGCCAAGATAAAGATGAGAGACATGAGACCGAACAATTCAGAAGAGCTGAAGGCCGCTATTGAAGCATCCTGGTCTTCCATAACACCTCAGCAGTGCCACAGGCTGATAGCATCCATGCCATGCCGCATTGAGGCAGTAATTGATGCAAAAAGGGCCCAAACCAAGTACTGAGTACATATGCATGCTTATACTTTTCAGAGGTCCGATATTGTTCTATGTACAATCCTTGTTTTATTGATTTCATGTAATACTCTAATTTTCTGAGATTGTGAATTTGGGGTTTTCATGAGCTGTAAGCCATAATCATCAAAATTATGACAAATCAAGGCTTGAACTATCTCGCTTTGCATGTAATGAGTCTATCTCATATATTAGCTTCACCTTTTAAGTTGCATTACTGAAATAAATGAACTTTTGCACGATATTCTAATTTTTCGAGTTTCACCTGTAGGTCTGTAAAGTGAAGGAAAACTGAAGTAATAGCTTTAGCATCATTGTGGTTTCACTTAGTGACCAATTCATTTAACAGCCAAGTTGCCAGTCCCAATAGTGCTCATTCAACAAGAGCTTCCTGTACTTTGTTGTTGCATTTTTTTTTAACAAAAGAAGCTTTTCCTATGTTTTGTATAGAGGCTCTTTCATGCATATTCGTATATTTCCAGAAAATATTTGTTGGGCAAAGGACGTCTTACAAGATGTTCAGTGTGAATCCAGGAGAGAGATACGTTGCCCAGGTTCGATGCAGATCAGATCATGGTATCTGGAGCAACTGGAGCCCTAAAAATTATATCAAACTCCAAAAAGGTGAGACAAACCTTTGACTGGCCTTCTATTGGCATTAGGCTTATGAAGGCAAGAACAAGTTCTGTTTACCTTAAGCCTTTTCCCCTCAGCAAAATTAAATACTATCTGCCACTTCTTGAGCCAGCAGAAAACTCTATTGGCATAAGAAGTGTAGTTCTCTATCATGCCGTGGGTATGGTGCCATCCTTGTTTTTTGTTCAGCAGGCATTATATTTTATTATTATCCATCATCTCTTAACCTTTTTGCATGGGGAAAATAGTAGTGTGTGTGTGTGTATATATATATATATATATATATATATATATATATATATATATATATATGAAAAGTTAAGATCAGTAGATGGAAACTTAGGATCAGAAAATTTAGTGGTATTATTAAATTTCTATATTAAGGATTGGAAATTATGGGGACTTTGAGACATACTCCCGGGATTGATTTAGAATTGTTAATAATTGGTGTTATTAATAATCCTACACATTTGGATGGAAGTTAATAATAGCTTTAGTAGGGGGAAAAATACATGGCAGAAAGAAATGTTATTTACGTTTAAATGAATTAATGGGAAAATGATAAAAGATTAGGAAAAGAAAATAGCATTGTCGAAGTTGGAAGATTAGGATTACACATACTGATTTGTATTATTGTTGTTAACATTGTTGAAAAAAGATTTAACCCAGTCAACGCACTGTCCACAAAATATGTATGTTTATATGGAAAAATTAAAAAAACTTGGGGGGGGGGAAAGGAATGGGTAGAATTCCTTGGGTTTCTTTTCTTTCTCTCTTCAGCAAGTAGATTGAATAAATAACAACCTTTTCTCACTCTTTTGCCAACCTGGAGCCAGTCTGTTTAACCATGTTCAGTCTGTACTGTGACTTCCTGACCTGCATATAAAGTTTCTCATGAGGGCAATGAGACGTTTTGGAATTCTCATTTTCCAAGAACTTTCCATAACTTCATAAGGGTTCAACCCAATCAAAGATCTTTGTATAATTAATGAAGCACATTCTGACTTCCTTTTTTGATATTTGGCTTTCTCATGTATTGGCAGTTGCAGTTATATTTTCTATACCTCAGCCATTCTAAAGTCATCTTGAACATTTGGCATATCTTTTCCCATGCAGGGCACTAATCTGTATTGCATTATGCTAAGCGTTATTTTGCTAGCAGGTGAAATAAAGATTATTGTGCAGCAGTTTGCACACACTGTTAAGTTCATTCATTCATTCATTCATTCATTCATTCATTCATTCATTCGTTCATATTTTAATGTAGATTGACCTCTACAGTCGACCGTAGTTGGCCACTGTGATGTTCTCCAGATTTGTTGGCATTGCTTGGTTCAGTCAACTTGATATTCTTGATTCCTTCAGGCACCATAATTTATCTTCACAAACTTATTGTGGAGATTTAATAAAACTCTGCAAATAAAATTTATTCTCTAAGTTAAAAAAAATAACGAAGTTATATGCAACTGCATGTAATTTAAACCATCTTGTTTTCTCTCTCAGATATCAGCGTAAAGGATGTAGTTGTTTGGATCGTTGTGGTTTTTTTATCAACCGCTGCTTGTTTGATCTTAATCTGGATACTGGCTTTAAAAAAAACCAAGTAAGCTTTAACTTTAGATGTTGTGAGATGCACAAAAACAAACCTGCCATAAAATCTACATTAGCAGTGAAGGAAAAGGGCTACTGTCCCTTTCTAATGGACTATTGTCTGCCTGAAACCATTGCTTTCTCTTAAAGCAGTGGTTCTCAAACTGTAATTGATGGACCTCGTGGGGGGGAGGCAATATCATCACAGGGGGGTCCCTGAAGACTTGAAGATATGTTATGATTTAAATGAGTTGAGTTAAGTCTTGGGAGTCTGTGGCCATGGTCCATGGCCATAAAAGGTATTTAAAGGGGGGTCCATGGTGAAGAAAAGTTTGAGAACCACTAACTTAAAAAAATACTTTCCAAACTATCAGCATTTGAGATTGGGGTGGATAAAGATATGATTGGATTGATTTGATTTGGAGTTGGCATATGGTGACTTCTAAACATCAGTTTATGATTTAGCATGTTGTACACATCCAATTAATTGTGTTGATTCGGTAATTCATGGCTAAACAAATGATGACTTAGAGACTTGTAGAGCAGGGGTGAAATTTACTTACCTTTGCTACCGGTTGGCAAATATGAGCGCGCAAGCACGCTTGCTACGCTCACGCGCACTTCCACACATGCACAGAGCCTTCTGCTCATGTGCGGAGGGTCAAAAACAGGACGTGAGGATGTCCGGGTGGGTGGGCGGAGCCTCCCACCACCGGCGCTACCGGTTCACCCGAGCCAGATAGAACCAGCTGAATTTCACCACTGTTGTAGAGTCAATTCCTTTGTCCTAAAGCACAAACTCACCATCAGGTTTGGGCACCAAAATCCTGCACCTCAACACTGATATGTGTCTTTAAGAATGCCAGTGCCAACCTAGATCTTCCTTAAATACATCCATGCTATCTCAATTTTTAAAATTTAAACAGCAGAAATGGAAAGACAAAATACAGATTTCCCACTTCGCACAAGTAGCAACTTGATGTGCTTACCGAGTTTCCCCAAAAATAAGACCCTGTCTTACATTTTTTTGAACCCCAAAATAAGCGCTTGACCTTATTATTTTGGGAAGCGTGGAGCAAGATGGGGCTCCTCTTGCCGTCTTACCTGAGTTCCAGCTCTGCATTTAAATATTTTCAAGGAGGGCTTATTTTCGGGGGGAGGCTTATTTTAGCGCATGCGCTCAAAAGCCCGATTGGCAGGGCCGGATTTTCGTATAGGCTAACTAGGCTTCAGCCTAGGGCCTCAAGATCAAGAGGGGCCTACATTCAAATTGTTAGCAAAATTAAAATTACACTTTCACTATAGGTGAAAGGGCCTCATAAGTGGAATAGCCTAGGGCCTCTTTTCATCTAAATCCGGCCCTGCCGATTGGGCTTATTATCAGGGGATGTCTTATTTTTGGGGAAACAGGGTACTAACAGATCAGTAACATGGGGAGAAAGCTTTGAAGTTTCTCTCTGTCCACTCTCCTTCCAGTGACTTCTTTGCCATGGTTTGTATTTAACAGGGAATAATCAATTAGTTGAGGAGCAGGAAGCAGAGGGAATTTTAATAATTCTGGTGCCAGAGATCATTTTATATAAAGATGATCTTCCATGGGCAACTTATACCCATACTACCACTGAATGATGGTCTAGAGGAGTTTTTAGTCATTTAGTATTTCCATCAAGCTAGTTCTCGGCTGTCTCCCACTTTCGTGCTGGAAATTGCTGAATCACCAAACGAAGTCAATCTGCAGGTGTTATCAAACTTTAATCCACAACAAACGGGCGGCAGAACAAACCGAGGTTGAATCTCGCAAAGTTGGCGCTGAGACCCGCTGCTTCTCAGTGCCGTTTAAACATTTTGCGCTGGCAGTGCCCACGCCCCACCCACCGATAGTACGTCTCAGCTGATTGACGGGTTGCAGTACTTCCTGGTTCCTGTCGCCTCACTCCTTGCTGTTCTCATCGCCGCGTGTCTCCTGCCATCCGTATACGCAGTCCGAACCGATAACCACCACCAAGAGTCGGTATTCCGCCACCACCTCTAATGCACCCAGTGCTTACTAAAACCCACCCACCCCCTGACAGCGTAGAGTTGAGGGACGTGTCGTCATGCCTCTCCCCCTCCAGTACGTGTGTCAAGCTGTAGCTGGGCTCGACACTAGCATTATTACTTGAGCCCAATAGCCAAAAGATAAGAGGGAAGATATTTATGCCCTCTGAAACTTATTATTTCAGAAAGTCTAGAGAAGAGTTTCTCAACTTTGATAATTTGATGTGTGAAGATCGACTCCAGTATGGCTAGGGAGTTGTAGGAGTGGAACAACCCATCTTAACGTTATCAGGATTGGAAAACACTGGTGTAAAGCATCATATACAGGTGCCTGCTTGCATCAAAAAGTCTTATCCAAAGGATGATGATGATGATGATGATGATGATGATGATGATGATGGAAGTAGAATAACAACTCCTCCAATGTCTAGAGTCTCCTCCTGGGCTCTGTTGATACCAAATCAATTGAAGTGCTACCTATATCCCGTGAAAAGCCCTACTAAAAATTTTCCAACAAGCAAAGCTATTTTTATGTTCATTTCTACTGGAAAAAGAAATTAACTCACATTACAATAGCTGCCTTCAGAAATATCATTTTAACATAAGAAGGAAAGAGAATTTTTTATCTGTCTTCCTTTTGCATTTCAGGATGATAGCTCGCCTTCTACCACCAGTTCCAGGTCCAAAAATAAAAGGCTTGGATGCTCAATTATTACAGGTGAGCTGTTAAAGGAGAGTGTGGATCTTCACCAGCAGAATGTGAAAATCCTTTGCTTGGTCACACCTTGTTTACGTTTGCTTTACTTTGGTCACATGTTCTTTGACCAAAAAAGAACATCAAGCAAGAAACGTTTTGCCTTCCAAATGGATAACTTTTCAGCTGTTACTATTCTGCTATTATTATGATCACCTTCTCCGAGAGCCTTTGCACAACTTCATGTTCTGTGCCAGTTGCGCCCTTTCCTGGATTGTGACATACCTATGCTCAGTCATTCATGGCTTGATTATCTTGCGTTTGGACTACTGCAATGCACGCTACATGGGTTTACCAGGGGACAAATTCAAAATTTTTCTCTACCGGGCGTGGCTTGGTGGGCGTGGGCAGGGGAAGGATACTGCAAAATCTCCATTCCCTCCCCACTCCTGGGGGAAGGATATTGCAAAATCTCCATTCCCACCCCACTCTGGGGCCAGCCAGAGGTGGTATTTGCTGGTTCTTCGAACTACTCAAAATTTCCGCTACCGGTTCTCCAGAACCTGTTAGAACCTGTTGGATTTCACCCCTGGGGTCTACCCTTGAAAAATATTTGGAAGTTACAGCTGGCACAGAATACAGTTACAAAGACAGTTCTTGGGAACCCTAGGGTAGCCCATGTAATACCTTTGTTGCGTGAGCTGCACTGGTTGCCGAACTGCTTCCGGGTCCAGTTCAAGGGGTTGTTTATTCCTTTTAAAGCCCTTTGAAGCTCTGGGATCAGGCTACTGAGGAACCTTCTCGCCCCAATGGGATTGTCCTGCTCCACTTGCCCTGGCAGAAGGGGCATGCTGTGTGGATCCTGTCAGCCAAAGAATTTTGTCTAGCAGGGTCCAGGTGAAGAGCCTTGTCTGCTGTGGCTCCCTCCCTCTCCAACATCATGCCCCTTAAGTGTCCATGGAGATTCTCAGTCATTCAGGTCATGGTTGTCCCAAAGGTGCTTTTTCAAGAGTCAGCTGGACTTTCTGGTTTTCCTTTGAAGATGTTTCACTTCTCATCCAAGAAGAAACTTCTTGGATGAGAAGCACAATGTCTTCAAAGGAAAACCAGAAAGTCCAGTTGACTCTTGAAAAAGGACCTTTGGGACATGCCCTTTAAGGTGAGATCAACCCCCACCTACAAAGGCTTTCAAAACCTGACTTTGCCAATTGTCCTGGGGTCCCAAAAAGGGACAGTCCATTCTGGAGACTGTTAGTGGATTAAGAAAAGACCCCGGTCCCACCCCCATTTGTATTCTGATTCTTATCTAATATTTGCTGACATTTAAAGTTTAAACATTTGTAGCTTGGCTTTTATGATATGGTAAGCCCCCCCAGAGTCACCTGACAGTAAGATGGGCGATATATAAATTTAATAAAGAAATAAATGAATTACTGATTTGTCTGAACTAAAAGCAAAGAGGCGTTCTCTATTTTCATATACAAACACATTTCCTTTGAGTGGGATTTTCTTGGAAAAAGACCCAGTACAGAAGTTCTATTCTGAAGTGAGAACATGGAGTATGAATGGAGAGCTTTATCTTGTCCTTAATTATGATTGCAGTCTAAATTCTGCCTACCATATCTCATTTTCCATACAATATTTGATAAAGATTATGCCATAATCCAACAGTTTGTCTCCTTGGTAATCACAATATTGAACCACTGTACATTTTCAAGAGACAAACGTATAACATGTGTTTTATAGGACTATACAAATATTTTAAAAGAGGTGCCTTGAAACGTGCAGGAGTGTGTACCAAGCACCTTTTTAAATGAAAAATTAGCTACTTTCTCCATGGGAAACGAAGCAGCTATGAAGGCAAATGCTTGTGGAGACGTTTAAAAGCAACCTCTGAGGCATCCCACGTCTCTGGAAAAAGATGCAGCTGCTTTAACAGGTCAAAATGAGATGCCGTATTTTTCGGACTATAAGACACACCTGACTATAAGACGCACCTAAATTTAGAAGAGGAAAACCACAAAAAAGTTTTTGGTCTCCCTTTTTTCAGGCTTTTTTTTTTTTTTTTTGGCCTTTTTCCAGTCTTTTTTGCCCTGTTTCCGGGGCTTTTTTCAGCCCTTTTTTGGGGCTTTGGGGGGGGCCGTTTTTGAGGTGCTTTTTGGCCTGTTTTCAGGGCTTTTTTTGGCCCGTTTTTGATGCTTTGGGGGGGGCTGTTTTTTGGGGGGGTTCGGCCTGTTTTTTTAGCCCGTTTTTTTCTGAAAAATGGGCTGAAAAAGCCCCCAAAACAGGCCAGAAAAAGGCCCGAAAACAGGGTGTGCGGAGGCAAATAAAATGGCTGGTGGGTGGGCGGGGCTTAGGCAATATTCGATCCATAAGATGCACAGGCATTTTCGCCCCCTTTTGGGAGACAAAAAAGCATGTCTTACAGTCCGAAAAATACGGTACTTCACACGTGCTCATGTGTCGTGAACATCTCTTTCAAAGAAATTATTTCTTCATTCTGATCCTTATAACTCATAACTCATAAATGTTGGCATTTAATTCATATTCTATATCAGTTTACTGTCTTTTTATGTATCAGGGAGGCAAAACTATGTAGCTTCAGGGCTGTTTAAAATTCCAGATGCGGCTGCTGGATACAGTTGTTATATCTAAACATTTTACATAACATTAAATATAGCTTTATCCTATCCCCATAAACATTTTGAAGTGCGGTCGTCATCATCATCAACAATCCCGTTCACTTTCCTGCTTAATAAAATGTAACCCGCTTTAAGATCTGTATTTCCTCTGCTGTAGGTCCAAATGTGTTCAGCTCATTTTTATGCAATATGTCATTTTTAGAGTAATCCAGGGTGCATTTTGTTTTTCTCCAGGCAGGAAAATCTGAAGAATTGCTGAGCGCTCTTGATTGCCAGGGTTTTCCTCCAACTTCAGACTCTGATGACCTGCTGATTGAATTTTTGGAGATAGACGACAGTGAAGATCAGCAGCTAATGCCAAATCATGGAAAGAGTCACCCCAATAAACATGTAAGGCTAGCCCACCAGGAAATAGACTCCGATTCAGGAAGGGGAAGCTGTGAGAGTCCATCTCTACTGCAAGAGAAATATAAGGAAGCCAGAAAACTGCCCCCTACAGTAGAAGTACCAGATCCTGAGGAGGTTCAAAGGAACACTGATAGAAAAAATCTCTCAGAAACATTAAAACTAGAGCCTGAACGACATCTCCCACGGTTGACCAGTAGTAACCCAAAATCATCGACATGGCCTGGAGACCAGCCAGGGCACTCTCACACGCCAAGGTATTCCTCTCATGATGCCATAGAGATCTGCAAAAGGATACTCAAAGCCACACATGTAAAAAGGTCACCCATTTTGGGGAGAAGGGAAGGAAAGCATTGTTCTCAGCTTCCCGAACCCATTGAGACGATCAGTAAAGTAAAAACGGGCCAACTGGAGGATGAAGCCAATATAACTCTAAACTCTCAGCGTAATCAAGACGCATTCTGGTTAGCTTCTCCAGAGCAGTTGCCTTTCACCTCTACGAAGCCAATGGATTATGTAGAGATTCACAAAGTCAGAAGTGACGGAGCGTTGGCTGTGCTACCCAAGCAGAAAGAAAGTGTTGACAAAACTGAAAAGGCTCCTCTGCCTCCTCTGTCTACAAAAGAATACTCCAAGGTTTCAACGGTTGTAGCTAATCATATTCTGGTATTATTACCAGAGACCAAAACGGAGGTCTTGCCTACTTTTCAGGAACCCCCAAAGGAATCCAATCCGGAAAGCCAGGCAGAGAAAAACAAGATCTATTGCCTCCCGGTTCCCAACACGTGCACAATACAGATTGGTGGTTTAGATTACATGGATCCGAATAACTTCATGCCAGCCTTTCATTAATAAACAAATTGAAATTCCCAGGTGACGCAAGGAAAATAAACATTCTTGGCACAAAACTGCTTACATCTGTTTAAATCTTTGCATTCGGTCATTAAAGAACAGACACGGGGGGAAAAATTCATCTTGCTGTTTGTGATTAAGAAAATTGTTTTGTTGAAGTCTGACTTTAGGGAAAGTATGTGTCATGATTTTATTTCAAACTACAACCTATTTCATTTATGTCTGATATGTCTTATCAAAAATGATGAAGTATCAAGAATTTCTGGTTAGGCGGTGTTTGGGCACCCTGGGGTGAAGGCTACAACACATATGCAATCCACCGTTTTTACTTCTCATTTATTGAGCCATGACATCTGACACCGCGTAGAAGAAACATACAAGAGCAAAGGTCCTGCATTTAAAAGTGTTTCTTTTTCAAGTGCCACAGGACTGTATCACTCTCAAATTTCTGGTGACTCTTTTCTACCCCCATCCCTCCTCCTCACCATTTGAGAGAGGAGTCTTTCCTGCCTGGTCACCTTTATTCCCACCAGATGCAAAAGACTTGATGACATTACAGTAAAGAACCTTGAGTAGCTGCCATATATATTTAAAAAGGGGAATATTTGTAGTTCAGGGTCAGTGGTGAAATCGACATTTTTTTACTACCGGTTCTGTGGGAGTGGCTTGGTGGGCGTGGTGTGGCTTGGTGGACATGGCAGGGGAAGGATACTGCAAAATCCCCATTCCCTCTCCACTCCAGGGGAACGATACTGCAAAATCCCCATTTCCTCTCCACTCCAGGGGAAGGATACTCAAAACCTCCATTCCCACCCCACTCCAGGGGAAGGATACTACAAAATCCCCATTCCCACCCTACTCCAGGGGAAGGATACTGCAAAACCCCCGTTCCCTCCACTCCAGGGGAAGGATACTGCAAAATCCCCATTCCCTCTCCACTCCAGGGGAAGGATACTGCAAAATCTCCATTCCCACCCCACTCCAGGGGAAGGATACTGCAAAATCTCCATTCCCACCCCACTCCAGGGGAAGGATATTGCAAAATCCCCATTCCCACCCCACTCCTGGGGGAAGGATACTGCAAAATCCCCATTCCCACCCCACTCCAGGGGAAGGATACTGCAAAATCTCCATTCCCTCTCCACTCCAGGGGAAGGATACTGCAAAATCTCCATTCCCACCCCACTCCAGGGGAAGGATACAGCAAAATCTCCATTCCCTCTCCACTCCAGGGGAAGGATACTGCAAAATCTCCATTCCCACCCCACTCCAGGGGAAGGATACTGCAAAATCCCCATTTCCACTCCAGGGGAAGGATACTGCAAAATCTCCATTCCCACCCCACTCCAGGGGAAGGATACTGCAATATCCCCATTCCCTCTCCAGGGGAAGGATACTGCAAAATCTCCATTCCCACCCCACTCCAGGGGAAGGATACTGCAAAATCTCCATTCCCACCCCACTACAGGGGAAGAATACTGCAAAATCTCCATTCCCACCCCACTACAGGGGAAGGATACTGCAAAATTCCCATTTCCTCTCCATTCCTGGGGGAAGGATACTGCAAAATCTCCATTCCCACCCCACTCCTGGGAGAAGGATACTGCAAAATCCCCATTCCCACCCCACTCCAGGGGAAGGATACTGAAAAATCCCCATTCCCACCCCACTCTGGGGCCAGCCAGAGGTGATATTTACCGGTTCTCTGAACTACTCAAAATCTCCTCTACCGGTTCTCCAGAACCTATCAGAACCTGCTGGATTTCACCCCTGGTTCCAGGGTTGAAATGAGGGGTCCTTGGTGTTCTCTGAGTTTGGTGGTTTTCTTCAGATGTTTCATTACCCAAACACGCTAGTCTAGCACTGATGAATGTTACCTAGTTTGGGCAATGAAACGTCCGCAAGAAAACAACCAACTTCACAGAACACCAAGGACCACTCGCTTGAACCATGAGCTACAAATATTCTCCTTTTTAGCACCAACTAGCATTGATTATGTTACCTAGTTTGGGTAATGAAACGTCCGCAAGAAAACAACCAAAAGCAGACAGCACCAAGGACTCTGCCATTTATATTTCCCACAGTAACCTAGATCAGGGGTCAACAATCCGCGGCTCTGGAGCCGCATGTGTGGCTCTTTTTCGGCTCCCCGTCGCTCAAAATATGTGTCACAACCGCCAATGTGCGACACCCACCAGCACGCAATTTATTGAGCTTTTCGACCCCGGTAGGCCAACCATGGATGAATCCAAGACAAGAAAAGTTTCAGAAGAAAACAAAGTTTAATTTAACTACATATGCTAGTTTTTTGGACGCTCAGGGAATAGTCAGGCATGGGAAGGGTTTTGTGGCTCCCGGTGTTTTCTGTGGGAAACGGGTCCAAATGGCTCTTTGAGTGTTTAAGATTGCTGACCCCTGACCTAGATAAAACAGATTAACAGAGTTGGAAGGGACCTTGCAGGTCATCTAGTCCAACCCCCTGCCCAAGCAGGAGACCCTACATGTACCTCTACCTAGGATCGAACTCACAACCTCCTGATTGTGAGGCAAGAGCTCCACCTCTAGGCCACACCAGCTCTGTGTTTATATCTGCTGAGGTATGGGTAACTATGGCTGGGTGCCATAGCAGGGGTGGGTTCTACTTTACTACTGGTTCACAATGGGATCGTGCACGTACACTCACTTCGCTCGCGTGCACGTACATTCACTTCACAGATTACTGATGATGTCATCCAGGGCGGTGGGCGGGGCCTCCCGCCAGTTTTACTACCAGTTCTTGCGAACCGGTCTGAGCCAGGGGCCAACCCACCACTGTGCCATAGGTATATTTGCCCGTAGCTCAGCAGAGCAATATAAAAGCACAGATCTGGGTCACAATTGGAAATGTAAACAGTGGGTTCCTTGGTGCTCTCTGAGTTTGGTTGTTTTCTTGCGGACGTTTCATTGCCCAATGAAGTGCTCAGTGGAAGAAGCATTAAACCATTTCAAGGAACGGTGTAAGTACTGGTAGTCCTCGCGTTACGACCACAATGGAGCCCAAAATTTATGTTGCAGAGTGAGACATTTGTTAAGTGAGTTTTGCCCCATTTTACGCCTTTTCTTGCCACGGTGGTTAAGTGAATCAATTTCTTAATTTAACATTTTTTATTGAGTTATAAGGTAAAATAAAATACAAAATACGAAAGTAAATTGGAAAGCCATGGAAGAGGGGAAGTGAGGAAAGGAACTTTGACACTATATATCAGAGCATTGCTGGCTGGAGAATTCTGGGAGTTGAAATCCATAAGTCTTAAAGCTGCCAAGTTTGAAGACCTCTGATATATATGTTGACAGCAGCAAGATTATTATACACACAAAAATGGAAGGACACTTTGACTCCTACCATGGATGAATGGCTGCAGAAGCTGATGGACTTAGCTGAAATGGCAAAAACGACCATTTTGATTAAAGAAAACCATATAAGTAACTTTTGGAGGCCGCTTCTGAACTTCGTGCTTGAAGTGGAAAAGAATGAAACTTTGATTTTGGGTTTTATCGATTAGGTTGGTAGATCATTATAGAAATGGCTAGTTTATATTATTATGGAAAAACAAAAGGTTGCGGTTTGATGCTAATGCCTTATTTTACTGCAACGGAGGAAGTTGGAAGTCAATGCTTCATTTTTTTCCCTCACCGTCCGCAACCCGGTGAGTGAAGGGAATCCGGATTCTGCATTGACTTCGCTTGGAAGATCGTAAAAGGGGGATCATGTGACCCTGGGATGCAGCCACCGCCATAAATATGAACAGCTGTCAAGCAGCTGAATGTTGATCACCTGACCATGGGGATGCTGCAACGGTCGTAAGTGTGAAAAATGGTCATAAGTCACTTTTTTCAGTGCCGTTGTAACTTTGAACGGTCACTAAATGAGCTGTTGTAAGTCGAGGACTACCTGTAATAGGAGGCCCATGGCACTGTGCGGGGAATTCGTTGTGGATGCCTACGTTGGGTCGTTCTTTGGCCAGCCAAAAGCAGAATGCTTTCCTATTGCTTCAGTAGAATAAATACGACACTTAACAACCAAACAAATCCCTGAATTCCATGACAGAAAATGGACGCCCATCACACGCTGCATGATTGTATTCTGTTGTTACTCATGCGGGTTCTGTGATACGCTGCTAGTGAAAATTTGCAAATTTATGCCACATGCTGCTATGTACGTTAACACAGTTTAGAAGCTCAGAAAAGGAGGGGGGGTTGTTATTTCTCTGCTTTTTTTTTCCTAATTAAAAAAAAAAGTCCTATTTTTATAAACGTTTAAAAACTTACCTCATTCTAAGCTATTAAAATATACCTAACTAGGGAGAGGGAGAAAATTGTGCCTCTTGTATATGGCTTCGGTGTGTAGGGTTCTTGAATTCCTTTTTGATTGAGCTCATTGCAAAAATCTACCTTGGTACTGAGAGCACTTGCAAAATAAACGATTTTCGAATTCCAACCTATGAAGGAAAGAGGAGATTTAAACTAGCTCACTTCTGTGTCACTCTAACTTAGAGTTCGATTTAATTTCATATACTGCCTTATTGTACATAATAAAAAAGCTAATTTAATATAGCCCCTGTGTACTTTTGCAGATTGTTTTGCTACTCTAAATATTTATTTTCTAACTTCCCAGAGCTATATGTATTTATCCAGAGTTTTAGTGTCTATTTTATTTTTTGCCTTTGCAAGCAAAGCAGGAAAAACAAAACCAGATGACGTTACAATGTTTTATAATAAAAGGTAACTGTTAGAATAGATCTGAATTTGCACCCGGTTATATTTATGAGGTCTTTGGCTTTTGTGGTTCACTGCGTGGGCTGGCAATTCCCAGCTATATCGGGGTGGGAAAAGTTTCCAGCAACGGTGTTGAATTCTGAAGCCATTTGAATGCAAAGCACGCAAGCTTGAAGAAGAGGGACAAACGGTGCCTCTCTCCTGTGAGGGTCTCTTTGTGCCAAGAAGCATGTATTCACCATGGGAGTCAGAAGTTCAAGAATGAAAGTTCTAGCTGTAAACATGCCAGCAGTTTTGTAAT